TAAAAAATGAGTGCCACCCTACAAAATATGTTTTAAACTGGTCTGAATAGTTTTTTAAACAATGTCATATTCAGTTTACTATTTCAGAATCTTAATTGTACCATACAGATGTATTTAGACACCATTTCCATCAATTGAAAGGATCATAATGACAAAAAATTCAGTTTACCTATTATAGGAACATCTTTTTTGCAAGAAGGAGTCATATTTAACTAGTATGAAAACAAAATTGTATACATATGAAATATATATATATACATATATATATCAGTTGTATACTATAATTTATATTGACATCCTAGGATGAGATTTATATCTTAGGGTTTCTATTGCTTTGAAGAGACACCAAGACCACAACAACACTTATAAAGGAAAATATTTAATTGGGGCTCACCTACAGTGCAGAGGTTTGGTCCCTTATTGTTATGGCAGGAAGCATGGTGTCATACACACAGACATGGTGCTGGAGAGGTTGCTGAGAGTTCTGCATCTGGATCCACAGGTAGCATGAAGGGAGGAGACACTGGATCTAGTTTGGGACTCTTCTGTAACCTCAAACCCACATCCTGTGACATACTTCCTCCAACATGACCACACCTTCTCCTACTAATGTAGCTCCTGGTGACCAAGCACTTAACTCTATGAGCCTATAGAGGGCATTCTTATTCAAACCACCACACTTTACATACTCCCCATTTTCTAATTCTACCTCCCTAACACTGTTCTATAAGAAAGGCAGAGGGGGAGCTCATTGCTTCCCTTGTGTAAGTCAAGCATCCTTTTAACTGAGCTGCATGTTCAGACCACACTGTAACCATTGACAGGGAGAACTATCTTTTGATCTTCAATTTTAGTGCCATTGCCTACCAAACCACTCTAATTCTTTCAAAAAGATAGAATCTTAAGTTGACAGTGACTCAGGGAGAAATCTGTCCTATGCACAATCCTCCTTTAGGTATCTCTTTGGTAAAATACATCATTTGTCACTTTGAAAATATTTTTAGAGTTGACTCTAAAGATTCCTGGAGTTACAATAAAGTATTCATGACAGAACTGGCTATATATCTTGAGTTCATTCTAGAATTCTACTAACAAGCAAAGAGATACTATAGAATAGAATATGAGCGATACAGAATAATTGCCTAGAGCATGTATGAAAATTTGTCATGCTTCCCATTTTGAATGTACATAGGTAATATAGCTCTATGAACAGCACATTGAAAGCATGTAACAGAAAAATGTTTTGTAATCTACTGCAGTGATATCTTTCTTGCACAAATTAAGCCTGTTTGGGGGCCAGAGAATGGAGTATGCCACTATCTAACCATAGAGATCTAGAGGTCTAGACAGACAGACAGGAAGTAAGGCAACTGGGCAGAAACAGGATATAAGCAAGGAGAAACAGGAAATGGCTCTCTTCTCTGCCGAGATGCTTAGGAAGTAAGGTGTGCTGTGACTTGCTCCTTCTCTCTGATCTCTTAGCATTTCCCACTATACCTAACTCTGGTCTTTTATTATTTAGACCAATTAAGAACTCCTTTTACAATTTATTGTATCACATTAAAGTAAATTATCGAAAACAGTTCCCAGAATGTGGATATTTTAATGCTAAATCAATAATTACACAAATTAGTTTATTCTACTTTTGAAATTCAAGCAGAGCTTGTACTCCTTCGTGTTAGGACAGTACACTGGATATCTCTGCTAGTCAAAAGATAATGATGAGTACTACCTATGACCTCTTTACCAAAAATAATATTTTAGCAATAATATTAATAACTTTGCTAGGCTGTCCTTTCTTTGTTTGGGTCAAGGGAGACTATGTAAACAGATGTGGTCAACAAAGTTTTTCAACATAGAGATTTCTTATCAAAAATATGTTTTTGTAACTGTACATCTTCAAGATTACTATTAATTTATAATTATAAGAAATAGTCCTCAATTATAAGAAATAAAAGGAGAACCATGTCTGGGTCCCACAGCTGCATTTTGTGGTTGGCCATATCATATTATTCTGTTGCAAATAGCAGTCTCAAGTTTCTTTAGCACTTTGCACAACTCTCAGAACATCCAACACAAGGAGTACTGGTTCGATTATCTAGACTTGTCAACCAACTGTCACTGAGATTGCAGAGAAAGGTTTTTATGGGTTTGGAGAAGGAGAACTTACTGGCAGAGCAATTTATCACTTGGCCTTCCAATCAAAAAGACATTTTGGCTCCTACTCATCAAGCCACTTTGTGAGATTTTTTTGAAAACAACTACTTTCCTACTGTCACAGGTGTAGAATCTTCCATTTCTGAAGTTTGGCTTCATTTTTACGGGGATTTAGCAAAATTCCAATTTAGGGCAGGCTTTCTTCTCATTGAAAAGTAGCTTTCTCTCTCACTATCTTCTCTTTAAATGTGCCTGTTAGGATTTGAATAAATCATTAATATCATCTTCAATTCTGTTCTTTCCAAGCACAAATGTTTTCTTTAGCATCACCTAAAAATATTTCTATCACTTTTTGACATATGTGCTTTCATATAGCTTAGCACTTTCAAGCCAGGTGTGTCACCTTATTTTTCATGCTACTATATTTTTCGTAAATTTCACCACATTATCAGAAAATTATAGATATTGCAAAACAACTTATTGAAGTTGAGATTTGCATGTTCTTTACTGAAGTCTAATATGTTTGGATGGCCATTGTCCTTGGAATATCTCTAATAGGGTGTTAGCTGTATAGGTCCTATATTTTCATATTCCCAGCAATTGGTGTAGTCATGGAGAGTCACCAAACAAAATTTCTAAAATGAACTATATTTGTCTGAACCCAATTCCTCCATCTTTATTGTCAGTTGCTTGAAGTATGTGATGTTTTCTATTGTGTTTAATTTGGTAGCAAATATTCTTAACACTGCATGTGAAATGCTGCATGTATCCCCATGTACGAAGATGTGAATGAACTGCTTATGCACTTTTACAAAAGCTATATTTCTGGGATTTTATGTACTGATTATTAAATCCAGAAACTATTCAAAATATAATTAAATTATAGTCTTACATTAACCCACAGGTCAGGATGTTAAGTACAAAGGTAAAGCTTAAAATGTACCACTTATAATTGACATCACTTCTGACTGTCATTTTATTGCATATTAAGCTATTTCACCTATTGTGAATATACCATAGAAATGTCACTCAATATATTGTTACTTACATTGTTACCTAGAAATTTGCCACAGGGAGAACATTTTTGTCACAGAAACTGGCAAATGCTAACAAAAAATAGTTTACCGTTTTGCTGGCTACAAAGATTTAAGAATGTGGTACAGAATATGATAGTAACGTATTAAAATTTTTAAATATAATTCTGTAAGTTATATTACATTATATTAAAGTACTCTACATTGGGAGACCATTATATAACTTAGAAAAGCTCTTCATGTCATTAACCAATTTTCCAATTTTCAATCTGAAATGCTTAGGCTATCAGCTCATATCATCTTAAAACTACTTGACCATTTACAAATTGAAAGTAATCTATTCCTTTTCTTTTTGAGGCAAAATTTCTTATAGTCTAGGCTGGTCTTGAATTCATTATGTAGTCAAAGATGACCTTGAAATCCTTATACTCCTTCCTCTACTTCCCAGGTGCTAGAACTATATGCATGGGCTACTATAGCCTACTTCATTTTGTTCCTCTTACTTCTCCCTTATTCTCATCAATTTTCACTATCTTTCTTAGTGTCATTTCACAGCAAGTTTTGTAAAGAAGTTTCTTTTTGCAGTAGATGGGAATAAACTCAGAGACCCACAACTGTACACTGTGCAGAGAATGAGAACTTTGGAATACTTAGTCCTAAGTAGAATGTTGCTAGCAAACCCCTTCCTTCAGCGATCAGGGAGCTAGCTATGAGGACGAGGAGGAAGATAGATTTTTTAAGAGCGCAAGGAAATGAATGAGTCCGAGGAAACAGTGTCTTCAAGACACAACAGGACTGATATTCATATGAACTCACAAAAACTGCATAGGTCAAGACAGATGGTGCCACAGCTCTGAGAGGGAGAACACAGGATCTCACCCCTAAACAAAAAGTTATTTGCAATTGATACCAGCTGGCAAAGGGAAACATCAGGTTTTTCCATTATGATGCCTCCTAGTATATTAAAATCCATTTCAGGGCAGGCTGTAAAGCCAGGAATAGCTGACCAACACAACAGCAACTTCATGTTTCTGTTGTTGTTGCTGATTGTTTTTGGAGTGTGTGTGTGTGTGTCTTTTTGTTTTGTTTTATTTTGTTTTGTTATTTTTTGTATTGTTGGTGTTTTCTTAGTTGTTTTACATTTTTATGTTTTTTAAGTTAGTTTTTTGGTTTTTGGGAGAAAGCAACTAACAACAAGTAGGTAGGGAAGTAGAGATGATCTGTGAGGAGTTGGGAGAAGGGAAAACATGATAAATGTATGTTGTGCATGAAAAAAATTAATAAAAGTTAAAACCTACTTCAGACCATAAAAGAAAAAAGACAAACAGAAAGAGGGAGGGAAGAAGAGAGGGGGGAGGAGAGAAACTTTGCTGTCATTGTAATCTCATTTTTCCATTTAATTTTAACAAATTTCAAGCAGCGTTTGTGTCTCCACAGTTTGCAGGGAAATCATTCTTAAATATTGCCAACCCTGTTCTGATCCTACTTCTATTCTCAGTATCAGGAGGCAATAATTTCCCAGCTCCTACACTTTTCAGTGGATGTTGCTCATCCTTTTCTTCTGGTTGCTTATTTTATTTCTGAGTTCTGAATGTTGTGTCATGGGAAAAAATTCAGTATATTCTCTCTATAAATATTTTCATCCAATCCTGTGACTCTCAAAGGCAACTATATTTGGGTTACTCCCTAATTTGCATCCTTATCTCTGAATATGTCATAAAATCAGATTATACATCTATTGCATCTTTATTTTTTTATTCAAAATGTGTTTATCAGCATAGTTCCCATTCATCTTGAATGAGGTGCTCTTCAATGCTGCTTCCTCCTGAAGGAGTATCCTTCTGTCAGCCTTGCTTTTCTGCCTGTAGACTGACAGAGGACAGTGGAACAGGCAACACACAAGACCACCGTTTGCGCATGGTTAAAGACCGTAGCGATTTTATAGCATCCTGGGCACTTCACATCCATAAAGTAGGAATTGAGGCTCTGTACCAGGCACTTTTTCTTGTGTTTCCTCTTTTCCTCTTCTGGAGAGGGAGGAAGGAAATCCTTTGCGAGAGGCATGTTCTCGTAGGGAGGTCAACACCACTGGAAAGGCTATTGCATCTTTAAATTTAGACACCTCATAAGGATATAAATTTTTATGGTGCAAAAATATATTTCATCTCTGCACCACAAACTGCCTCAGGTCATTGAGACAGACATAATTTTTAATCCTTTGTTCTCTCATAAATTTCATATTAAGACTATTAAGTAACATGTTAACACTATAATTAAAGCCAAACAAGAATTGCAGCAAAGTACAAATAAATTGCTTTGTAAATATAGTTTCAAAGAGGGGGGAAAAAGGCTATATACAGGTGTGGTAGCATATGCTTATAACTCTAGCATACATGGGGTGGAGGCAGCAGAATATATTAAAACGAAGTATGCCAACAGAGAAGTAGAGAATTTAAATTTTAAAATAAAGAATACTAGACTACACCCACAAGAGAAATAAATGGCAAGCAGCATGCTGACCCCTTTTCAGAAATGATTTTGTGATTTTTATCTGAGGCAGAAATAACCTATTCCCCTGTTCTTATTTGCAGATAGAAATGAAAATATCCAACAGCAAATCACACATTTACAGTGGCTGTACAAGTGCTGGAAAGAATCAACAAATGGGAAAGAATTGTTCCCATTAGAGTCACTCCCATGAAAAACACTCTGATTTTTGTAAGAATTTCAATACCACAAGACTGCGGAGTCCACAAAAAGACCTTGGCTGACAGAGGCAAAGCACAGTTAGAGCAATTGAAAGAAGCAACTATGAAGCATCTGAGCTGAGCAACTCAGAGCACCTAGTGGTAATTAATAATGGTATCAAAAATGAAATAAACCGGCAGTTTCTTGCACACAGGAGATACTGTGATAACAGCAAGTTATTCCTCGTGAATTCCCCTCTAAATTTGGATTGATATCTACGTGTCATTTCCAGGGAAATTCTGATAGAAAAAGAAAAACAAATCAAACTTTCATTGAATTTAGATCCTGGGTTTTACTCTCGATGAAAAGGAATGCCACAGAGGTTCTCAACACAAGTTGTCTTAAATACAAGATAATAATATGGGCAACAGCATAGACCTACATTAATCATAGTAGAGTCAAGAAACCTAACATAGAGGTGGATCCAGTGTGAGAATTAGAATCTCCTAGTCCTATGCCATTGACCATTATTTCAAAGGCAATATGTCAAATAGATAGCAATGTCTGTGAATAATGCATTATGTAGCCCTAGATACAGAAATTCACTGACATACTTTAGGAATGAATGCATTAGGCATTTACTTTATTTCCTATTTTTGAACTGTTTATATCATTTATGTAACTAGAAAAGTAAGTAATTGTGACAAGTAATAGAAATTAGTTGTCATAAAACTTCCATTTAGTTAAAATATTTTTATAAAGATGAATTTAAAATAAGAACAGTGTTCACCTAGATTTTTTTTATAATTTCTTTGGTGGTGGTGGTACAACTGTTAACTTCAGTAGTATTGTCAACTTCACTTATTTCAGACTTGTCTTCTTACTTTTCATTCATTAAAGTAAAACCTTAAATAACTACTACTGTGCCCTGTCTGCAAACATTAAAATCAGGGTGCATGTGCTGTCTTTGGAGCATATGCCTGCCAAGAATGCATGAAACATTTATTAGCCTCACCACAGATAGAGGTGTCCTTGTTTACATATTTGCAAATTTGTAATGCATGCCTGGAACCAGATTGCAAAAAATGGTAATGCCTATGCAAGTACCTTGATTAATTTCAAATCTTCAGTAGACACTTGTGAATACTTACCTCATGTGGTAATGTTAGTCCATGACTATTTGTCATTTATGATAATTTATACTGATCATATGTTCGAGGGATGAATGCTAAATAAAGTTATTGATCATAATATAATTCACTATGGAAAAGTTAATAAACTGTGTTTCAAGAGCCAGTAGCAACTTGACAGATAGTCCTGAAATATCCTGTCTTCATTTTCACCCATTCCTCAGCCATGCTGTCCTATTTTCAAAGTAGACGTTACAATGAAGATCTAGCAGTTTCTGTAATGTAGGTGATTTACTTTGGATATACAGAAAAGGAGAGTTTATGGAATTCAGAGTAAAGGAAAACTTAAAATACTTTGTTCTTTTCTGCTGAGTAGTACTGTTGTGCCCAAATTCTGAATCCCCAAATCACCAAGAGTTCCATTTTGATGCAAAAGCAAAGAGTCTTTTATTAAAGTTACTTAATGAGTTAACCCCATTAACTGGGGTCTTTTACCCTGCCACTGTGGTGATGGCTAGACATGACCTACAATCCACACCTCCAGAGAAGCTAGAAAACAAGGAGGACCCTAAGAGAGAAATACATGGTCCCCACGAGAAGGGAAAATGGACAGGATCTCCTGAGCAAATTGGGAGCACAGGGTAGAGAGGTAAGGAGGGAAGAAGGAGTTAGGAGAAAGAGAACAGGAGAAGGGAGGAGAAGGACATGAGTGAGCAGGAATATTGAGTTGGGTGAAGAATAGAGGAGAACATTATAGGTTAAAAGAGAAATCTGGCACTACGGAAATGTCCCGAGATCTGCAAGGATGACCCCAACTAACAATGTAAACAATAGTGGAGAGTCTACCTTAAATGCCCTTTCCCTATAATAAGATTGATGACTACCTTAAATGCCATACTAGAGCCTTCATTCAGTAGCTGATGGAAGCAGAAGCAGAGATCCACAGCTAAGCACTGATTCAAACTCCTGGAATCCAGTTGTAGAGCGGGAGGAATGATGAGCAAAGGAGTCAAGAGCTGGTTGGGGAAACCCACAGAAACTGCTGACCTGAGCAAGGGGAACTCATGGGCCCCAGACTGACGGCTGGGAAATGAGGATAGGACCAAACCAGGCCCCCTGAATGTGGGTGTTAGTTAGGAGACCAAGGCAGTCTATGGGGCCTCTGGTAGTGGAACAGTATTTATCCTTAGTGTAAGAATGAACTTTGGGAGCCATTCCCCATAGAGGGATACTCTCTCAGCCTAGACACATGAGGGAGTGCCTAGGCCCTGACCCAAAACTGAGCTCTACCCAAACCAGGAGAATAGCCATAGAACATAAGGTCATTTCTGGTATCTAGAGTTGAGCTTCAAAGGGATCAGATGTTTTCAGAACTTTATATATATATATATATATATATATATATATATATATATATATAAATAAAATCAAGCCATTGTGATTTAAATCAGTGATTTGGGGTAACAAATCAGATATCCTGCAGATCAGGATATTTATATTACAATTCATAATTGTAGTTATGAAGTAGCAATGAAACAATTTTATGGTTGGGGGTCACCACAGCATGAGGAAATGTATTGAAGGGTCACAGCATCATGAAGGTTGCGAATCACTATTTTACATGCACCACATCCATACTAGGGTAACAGTCCCAAAAATGCACTTTCTGGCCAGGTCCTCTTGTAAAGTTATTTTTAACACACTTGTTTCTTTCTTTTATATGTATAAATTTATTTATTTTACATCACTGCGCCAGCTTCCTCTTCCTCCTTCCTATCAGTTCCTCTCCCTCAACCTCCCTATTTGTTCCCATCCCCCAATCCATTCCTTCTCCTTTTCTGTTTAGGAAAGGACAGGTCTCCCACGAGTATCAACAGAGCATGGCACATCAATTTGCAGTAAAACTGAGTACTGTTCCTTATAATACGGCAGGACAAGGCAACCCAGTTTGGGTAGTAAGGTCCCAAGAGCCAATAAAATAGTTGGAGAAAGCCCCTGTTTCCACTGTTAGGAGTACCACAAATAGACCAAGATATATGTCACATATATGTAGAGGGTCTAGGTTAGTCCCATGCAGGATCCTTGGTTGTTGGTTCAGTCTCTGTGAGTTCCTATGAGTTCAGGTTACTTGATTTTGTGGGTTTTCTTGTGGTGTCCTTGACCCCTCTGGCTCCTACAATCCTTTCTCCTCTCTCCTGCAGGATTCCCTGAACTCAGTCTAATGTTTGGCTGTGGGTCTGCATCTGTGTCCATTAACTGCTGCTGGGTGAAACATCTCTGATTACCATTTGGGGAGGCACCAATCTGGTTACTGGAGATGGCCAGTTTGGGTTACACATCCACTGTTGCTAGAAGTCTTAGTTGGGGTCATTCTTGCATATTCCTGGGAGATTCCCTTGTACCAGATCTTTACCTGACCCTGAAGTGTACAGCGTTCTCATTTCCTGTACTCTCTCTAAGTCAATCTCCCACAACCTGACCAGTCAACACACTCTTTTCTTCAACAGCTTGTTTTGCTGAATTCCAAGTCATTGCTAATTAGCATCGTTGAGCTAAGTTTCACGGTGAATTTTTAAGAACTGAGGAATCAGAAGATGATGTGTGCCTTAATTAAGTCTCATCATCAAAATTCCATAGCTTTGATTGCCACTGTCTGTCTGTACTCACCACATAGTAGACACTTGGTTGCCTCTTATATAATTTGATTAGTTATGTGCACATCAGCTTCATCATGTCAAGCTCACAAAATGAAACTGTACTAAGACTTTTTGTCCGAGATGGACTGACTGTAGGTCTGCTTCTTACAAAAATTTTTTTCCGGGGTTTCTGGCACAACTGGTAGTCTAATTACACATAAATATAGACTTTTATCAAGTAATTTATTTTGAAATTGAGAGAGATGTTTATTATGTGTAGTTGGGCACTTAAAAGCTAGGGAAGGAGGGAAAAGAGGAGGGGAAGAAGGGAGGGAGGGAGAAAGAGAGCAGAAAGATATTTGTATTAAGAAGGGGCTCCTGGGAAATAGAATACTATGGATGTGCTGGCCTGGGGCTTTTTAAAACACATAGCAGAAACTGCTGTGAAGTAAGGGGGGATGAGCCGGCCAGTGATGGACTGGACATGACAGTGTAACTTTGGGGCATGTCCTGTTGTGCAGCCTCTGCAGAGGTGATCATTAGAAGAAGAGGTAACAAGGAATCAGAAGTCACTTCTCCATCTCTGGATTCCAGCAATGGCATTCTTTCCTTTTTTAATGTTTTTATTTATCTAAAAGATTTTTTTCATTGTGCACAGCTACTACAGTTCCTCCTCTTTGCCTCCTCTTCCCCATCCATTCCTCAGTAAGGGTAAGGCCTCCCACGGAGAGTAAACAGAGTTGGTACATCAAATTGAAGTAGGATCAAGTCCCTCCCCCCTTGTATCTAGGCTGAGCAAAGTATCCCTCCATAGGGACTGGGCTCCAAAATGTCAATTCCAGCACTAGGAATAAATCATGGTTATACTGCCAGTGACCACACAAACTGCCCAAGTCATGTAACTGTCACCCACATTCAGAGGGCCTAGTTAGGTTCTACACAGGTTCCCAAGCTATCAGTCCAGAGTCAGTAAGCTCCCACTAGCTAGATAATCTGTCTCTGTTGGTTTCCCCATCAAGATCTTGACCTGTTTACTCATATAATTCCCCCTCCCTCTGTGTAACTGGATTCCAAGACCCCGGCCCAGTGCTTAGTTTTGGATCTCTCTGCATCTACTTCCATCAGTTACTGTATGAAGGTTCTGTAATGACAGTTAGGGTAGTCATCAATCTGACTACAGGGGAAGGCCAGTTCAGGCACCCTTTCCTCTATGGCTAGGAGTCTTAGCTGGGATCGCCCTTGAGGATTCCTGGGAATTTCTCTAGCACCAGATTTCTCCCTTCCCCCATAATGGCTCCCTGTATCAATTTTTCTCTCTTCTTGCTCTTCCTCCCTGTCTCTCTCCCAACTCAACCATCCCTTTCTCCTCCTTCCTCCCCTTCACTCCTCCCTTTCCTATTCCTTCAATTTACTCAGAAAATCTTATCTACTTCCCATTCCCAGGGGCATCCATGTGTTCCTCTTTAGGGTCCTCCTTATTACCTAGCTTCTCTGGAGTTGTGGACTGTAGGATTGTTATCCTTTTTTATATCTAATATCTACTTATGAGTGAGTACATACTGTGTTTGTCTTTCTGGGTCTGTGTTACCTCACTCAGGATGATTTTTTTATAGTTCCATCCATTTGCCTACAAATTTCAAGATGGCATGGTTTCTTAAAGCTGAGTAGTACAAATGTAACACATTTTCTTCATCCATTCTTCACATGAGGGACGTTTAGGTTTTTCCCAGTTTCTGGCTATTACGAATAATGCTGCTATGAACATAGTCGAGCAAATGTCCTTGTGGTATGACTGTGCATCCCTCAGGTATATGTCCAAGAGTAGTATTGCTGGGTCTTGAGGTAGATTCATTCCCACTTTTCTGAGAAGCTGTCATACTGATTTCCAAAATGGCTATACAAGTTTGCAGTGAAAGACAGTTCCCCTTCTTCTACATCCTCTCTAGCATAAGCTGTCATTAGTGTTTGTGATCTTAGCCATTCTTAATAGTGTAGGGCTGTAATACAGTTATTTTGATTTTTATCAAGTAATTTAAATGAAAACAATAGCTCTTATTTTCCTTTAAACAAACTATTTAAACAGTATTTGAATTATACTGGTTTTGTTAGGACACATATAGTATTCTTGCAGTGAGAATCCTTGCAGTCTTCCCTCTGTTCCCTGCAGAGGGCTGCAATTGTGATGAAACTTCACTCTGTCCTGTTTGGGTAAGCAGTTCTCAGTCTGTAGGTCTTGGTTGACATAGGGGTCCCATATCAAATAGCCCGAGTATCAGATATTGTTCATAACTTTACAATTATGAAGTAACAATGAAATAATTTATGGTTGAAGGTTACTACAATTTGAGGAATTGATTAAAGAGTCTCAGAACCATTGGAAAATGAGGGCATAGATTTTTATCTCATGATAGCCATGCTACATGAGCGTGTGCCTCCTGTTACTACTTCACTTTGTTCTTAAAAATGAACAGGAAGAGGTTAGATGTGGTATGAAAAATTTAGTACCATACCAAGGTATTCTTACTACCTTAACTTTCATCTGGATACATTCATATACCTGAAATCAGTTCATGCTCATGTACCATAGGGATATTTT